ATACATGTATGAAATGTTTAAATAACAAATTTAATAATAAATTCATATGAAAGCAAAAAAAAATCCCCCGATAGTCAAACCAATTTTGGACAAAAGTTCCTTATTTTAAGGTATACTACAGGTATATAGTAATTAAAAACAGCATTGCATTGTTACAAAAACAGACATAGAGATTAATGGAATAAAAAAAACAAGACATATGTTAATATAAATGTAGGCTCCTTATACTTGACAAAATAAGAAAAATATAAATTTGGCAAAGATAAGGTCTTCATTAAATGGTGCTTTCGAAACTGTAATGCTATATGTAGTAGAGTTAGTTTACATCTTAATCCCACATTCTTCAAACATACAGACACAGACAGACAGAAACACACACACACAAACATACACACACACTCACACACACACACACACACACACACACACACACAAACACTCCTCAATCACAAGCGTATCAAGAAACTCAACAAAAGCCTCAAAAAATATGAAACTGTTAAAGGAAACAGTAGTATAGAGGCACAGGTAAGGACATCCGAAATAGGACTCATCCCACTCTGAAAAAAAGGCCAAAAATGGACAAGTAGTACCTTGCTAAATTAAAAGGTTCTTAAGAAAAAATGGAACTCATTAGTCATGTGAAGATGCAGGCTACAGAATGGGTGAAGTCCTTTGCCACTTACCTGTTTCTAGGAAATGTGTTTGTAGAGTCTACAAAGAATTTTTTAAAAATACAACATCAGGAAAAGAAACAATTGGAACAAAACCTGTGTCATGGAACCCAAGAGTTCTACCAAAAAGAGAAAAACAAATGTCTCATCCCCAATTTTTAAACTATTCAGCATTATTAGCCATCAAGTAAATGACGCGAAAACTACTTTGAGAGCTCATCTTACTCCAGGTGGAATGGTCATTGTCAAAAACAATAATAAAAATAAATATATAAAAAAGACAAAATGTGTATGAAGCCTTGGGAAAAGAAAAGAAAATCTAAATATAAAGAGATGAGAAAGGAGTAGATTCAGGTAATTAGCAAAAGTATTGAAAAATAATATATGGCTAATTGTTTTAATTCTAGGTCTGTCATAGAGTGTTGGTTTTGATGGTGCATAGTTGAGTGAATTGAGGTGATAACGAAAGTGTAACAATGTGAAGTTTCACAACTTCTTTTTGAATATGAATTCTAGCTATATATAAATTCACTAAGTTACATGGAATTTGAGTATCATTAGTTTTGGTGTATTTTATTTATTTAAAATTTCTTTATAAAATTTTAAATAAATTTTATAACATTTTTTAAAAGATTTTAAAAGAAAATATGGGGGAAGAGAAATGCTGGTGTGAGTACACACTCACACAGTTTTTGAAATTACTGTGAACTTTACTCAAAAAGCTGAAAACAGATTTTCATGAGACCCAGTTATCCAATGTTAATTTTACACAAATTATTTAGGTATATACTACTATATACCAGGTATATATTAGTATGGACTTAGGTGTGTATTACTTCATATTTTGATGTATAATATTATATACTTAGAAGTAAACTACTATTTATTAAGTGCACACTACTATGCACATAAGTGTATAATACTATGTACTTAGGTGTATTCTACTATGTAGTTAGGTGTGTACTTCTATATACCTAAGAATATACTCCTAACACGTAGTTGAACATCTGTACTCATGACAACTCTACTCACAATAGCTTGGAAACAGGTTCAGTCTGTGTGCCCGTCAACTGAAAAATAGATAATGCGTACTAAATAAAATTTCATTCAGCTATAAAAATAAAATTATGAACTTCTTAGAAAAGTAGATGGAACTGGAAAATATACTTAATGAGGTAACCCAGGCACAGATAGACAAATAGTATATGTGCTCTGTCATATGAGTAAATCTTAGTGTGTTGAACTTGAAGTGCATATAAAGGACAGAAAACTAGAAAGAGGCCATTAGAAGAAGAACAAGAAAAGGACACTCTAAGGAAAGAGACATTCCAGAACACTTATAATATAGGAGTGGAGGGAATGAATATGAGTATGAGTATGAGTATATGCAAAAATGGAATGATAAGATGAAGGATGTAATTAATTAAAACATGAATATATGATAATGCATTATGGAAGCTCACTAGTTTGAAAGCTTATAGAAGTCATGTTTTTAAACGAAAACTCCATTGCTAGTGTTAGGAAACCTTTCTAGGAGTTGTTGCCTGGAAAATGCCTGAGAATCCAAATAATACAGGCAATTATCACTATTGTCAGTTGCCCACAAAAGTCATTGGTAAGGCCCTATTGCTAAAGATATCATTATACAGTTATCATTGGACATAAAGAAAACAAGCTGGGAGTGGTCTGGACTATGTCTTGCTCCTGAGTAGCCCTCACAGTGTTAGGCCGAATGTTATTAGAAGATTGGCCTCTACAGTCACTCAGCTGTGGAAACTGTGATCTATACTTTACCCAGCTTTACAAGATATGCTCATTGGTCAATAAAGGCTATTGTGCTATGGTGAAAATAGACATTTTTTGATTTGTATTGAGAAGAGTTCAGAGATAGTCTAGTCAACATGGTCAAATGCTTATGTTGGGAAGGGAATAGATCCTTGTGTGTAAGCTATCTTTGTTATTCTGATAAATGGACATAATGTGAACATCAAATTCTAAATAGCCATGCTTTTCCCATTATATATGTCTACCATCAGCATGATCAAAAGATGTTTCTTGTATTTGGCAGTGGTGATTTGAGACTCAAAACTAGCAAACATGCTGAGAATAAGTGACCTTTCATGTTCACCATAAATGAGGCATCTTTAGTCCACAGTATATACTTAGGAAATAATAAGAAAAAAGGTATGAAATTTTTTTTTCGGTAGAGTAGCTACTGGTAAGGTTCTCATGTTCCTGCAAATGACACATTCCCTTTGGTACTGTAAGCAACCCCAGTGGAATTTGTTGGGTCAAAACCACACACATCAAGAAAAGGAATATGAAAGTAGAAAGGAGAGCTACTTGGAAAAAGGAACAGATCAGCAAGAATGGGAAAATGCAAGGATGTTAAGTGGACTATTATTGCTATCAAAATACCTGTACACATGCATGGAAATATTAATAATAAAACACTATGTTAGATATAATCAATATATTTCAATAAAATTCATAGAAAAAAGAGGCATAAGGAATCACTTCTCCTACCTATGAAAATATTTTTGAGACCAATAATAGATCAGGATTTACAGTAGCCAGAAAAATGCATTTTATTAAAAAGGTGGATGGTCAAGCTAACATATACGATGTTTTGTAATGGAAGCCATTACAAAAAAGACTAAGAAAATCCACAAATGAGAAGCATGGAAGGAAGAAAATAGCATTTGTTATTTTTATGTTGCTGTAATAAAACAACAACATGAAAAACACAACTTAAGGAAGAGAGAGCTTGTCCATGGCAGGAAGAGCTATAGAAACAGGAAGCTGGGATTTCATTTTCTTTGCTACAAGCAGAAAGCAGAGGGAATACACTGGAAAGTTCATATTAGTTTAATCTCTCAAAGCCCACCATGAATTGAATACTTCCTCCAACATGGCTGTGCCTCATAAACATTCTGGAAAAGCACCACCAACTGGGAAACATGTGTTCAAATGTGGGGGCCTATGTGGGACATTTCTTACTCAAATGAAGACTGATGCATCTACATTAAGTGGGAAAGATGAGGTACTCAAAATGGTGCTGAAATTGTATGCCATGGGGCAAGCTGTGGCTGTTTCCTGTTCTTTGGTGATGTGTGAGAACAGAAAGACATCACAATCAGGTTTGAAATGGTGATGAGCCTTGGACCCATAGACTGGTTGAATGTAGAGGTGCAAAATGGAGTCTACAAAAGTTCCTAAATGGCTAGAGATTTAGACAAGTTAAGTAATCCACATGAAATTTTGGGTTTGAACCTCAGCGTCAAATAATAAAGTACACAGTAGGTGTTTGTAGTCCTAGAATTCAAGACGTAGCAGAAGGAGGAGCCAAACTTCAAAGTCATCCTGTACAATATAGAGAGTTCCAGGCTAACAAAATAGTCTCTGAGACTTGGTATGGGGAGACTCTAGGGACTCTATGGTGGTGACTCTATCAGAGTCTCTTCACAGTAGGAGTTATGGAGTCTACAATGCCACCTCCTGTTGCCAGGTAGGACTCCCAGTGGAAGGATAATGACAGCAAGAAATTCACAAAACATTTGGCCACAGAGTGTCCTGTCTACACAAAGTGAAGGGACAAAGATGGGGCAGAGACTGAGAGAATGGGCAATCAATGACTAGACAAAATTGAGGTACATATCATGGGCAAAGAATAAAAAAATCTCGGACACTATTATTGATACTCTGATTTGCTTGCAGACAAGAGCCTAAAATAACTATACTCCGAGAGTCTATATCCAGCAGCTGACTAACACAGATGTAGAAATCCACAGCCTAATATTAGGTACAGCTCTAGGAGACTTGTGGGAGAGTTGGGGTAAGAATTGTGGGACCCAAGAGGCTAAGAACTCCAGAGGAAGATCAATAGAATCAACTAACCTGGACCTTTGGGTATTCTCAAAGACTGATCCACCAACAAAAAGCTATCATGAGCTAGACATATGGCCCCTTCATGTATGTAGCAGATATGCAGCTTGGTCCTCAAGAAGGTTCCCCAACAACTAAAGCCGGAGCTGTCCCAGACCTTGCTTTGTGTCTGTAGATCCCATTCCCCTTACTTGGCAGCTTTGTTTGGCCTCAGTGGGAGAGGATGTACCTAGTCCTGCAGATACTTGATGTATCATGGAGGGGAGATACCCTGGGGGCACCTACCCCTTTTCAGAGAAGAGGGTAATGAGGAAAGGATCTGTGGGAGGGGGTACTGAGAGGAGAGAGGTGCTGGATATGGGAATATAACATGAATGAATAAATAAACTAATTTTAAAATGTCTCTGAGTTTCTGCCATCACCCATATTTCACAGGCTACTCACCATTGCCTTTGAGGAACCATTCAAAATAAGTCCCCAGTGACTCTGGATTCTTCCCAAGTTTTGCCTTACTCCAGAAAAAGTAACCAGAAACAAGAATATCTCTGGGATTTCTGATGAGATAGATAGCCTTAAATGAAAAAAATGTAGATGAAAGTCAATAGTCACTCCTTACTGTTTAACTGGTATAGTTTATAAGAAATGTCAGAAAAACATGCACAGGTTTCTAAAAAACGTTTATCATTTTTATTGATCTTTTACGGTTTATTATCTAAACCAGAGTGATTCAACAGTTGTAATGATCAAACAATCATAATTGTTTATCCAACACCAAATGCCCAGCCCATAAAATATACATACAATTAACATTGGACTGTTTAAGAAGGTTGTAGTGAAGGATTTAGGAAGATATAAATTTCTTTATAATATATTGATTATTTATTCATTTAGTAGTATGTTGTATATGGTAGAAACAGATAAACATATATCTATATATGAATATATAAACATTAGAATACATTTAGGAATGTGTTTGTGTGTGTGTGTATGTATGCAACATGAATTAATAAAAAAGAAAACATAAATTTGAAAGAGAGAAAAGAGGAATATATATATCCATGAGTTTGGAGGAGAAAGAGGAATGGGGAAGTGATGCATATAATTATGTTTTATTATTATAATTTCAAAACATAAAAGAAATAAATTAAGAGTTATTATTTTTTTAAAGACATATTTATTTTATGTACATGAGTGCACTGTTGCTGTCTACAAACACACCAGAAGACATCCCATTATGTATGGTCATGAGCCACCATGTGTTTTCTGTGAATTGAACTTAGGATCTCTGGAAGAGAAGTTAGATCTCTTGACCATGGATTCATCTCTCCAGCCCCCAAAGTAGTCATTCTTAGTAAAAAGCTGCTTTGTATTTTGTACCAATTATTCCAGAACTCATGTATTTAGGTTTCAGTTTCCACAGCCAAAAGTTTTCCAAATCCAGAGATCCACATATGCATATATGTGAATGGTCACAAATTCATTATGACATTTTAAGGAGAGATTATTCTAAGTTTGTCTTTGCAGTTCGAACATTAACTATTTATACATTCTATGGTGGAGGGACTCACAAAGAACTTTCTTACTAACTTGGGGCTATGACTGGTCAGACCATAGATATCTCTGATTTCTTCTAGTGATTCTCTTTCAGTTTCATGGGAGATTCATATGGCTACTAATCTCAATTGAGAGCTAGAGACAGAATGACACTGTGTGTACCACTGGCCTTTGTACATTGATGCCTAGTCAGGCTGCTTCCCTAATGAGCAACTGTGTCTTAGGTGATTCACCCACAGGACTTGGGGTATATGTAATAATTAAGACTGGCTCATTGGCTTTGATGACAATAATAAAGTAATATCGACTGTACACAAGAGTTTCAACTCTGTTTGACCTATATATGTAGTTCCTGAATGTTTTAATGTGATATTTCACATTATTATTTAAAATTACCCAGGATCACTGTGTGATGGTCCACAATCTGGTACTCTAAACTAGTCTGAGGTGGAAAAACTTCAGCATCACCTAGACAATGAGATCCCACCTTTACATTTCTGAAAGAGCTCCAAAACACGTCAGGGTAAAATAAGTTCAAAGAGAATTTGGTCAACGAAAATCTCAACCACTGGACACTGACCTTGGCCTTGGAACTAAAGAGAGACTTGGGGAATAGATGGATAGGAAGATGAGAGTTCATGAGTCGTGGTCCTTCCTTATTTATTAATTTAGGATATCCTATATCAGTTTCTAGCCAGGGTGTACGCTGCCAGATGGGCACAGATTGGAACCACGTGGGATCTCCCTTAGTCTGAATCAAGCGGACAGTCTCAGCCAGCCAGTTTGTTCCTGGATGAAATGGAAAAGTGACAATCACTCATTTCAAGAGTACTTGTGAAAAAGCCTCAAGTAGAATATATATCCATACAATTTACAGTTATGCCAATTTTCAAGCATACAGACTTGTGGTATTCACAATGTTTACATGGTGTAAGTACTAAGTATATTCACGCAGCATATTCTCGAGGCGTCATTTTGCAAAAGTGGGACAATAAACTTAGTAAACACCAACCTGCCCATGGAATGGCTCCTCCTGTCCTGGGTCATCATCGTTCTAGAGTCTGGTGGAATTAATTTGATTATCCCAGATATTTCACAGCAATGTAGTGTCTGCCCTCTGACACTACATCCTTTAATGTAGTTCACTGCCATTGAGATGTACTCATGCTGCAGTGTATAACTGAGTACTTTTGTTAAGTTAAATAAATTTCTTTATGAATATTTATCACACACATTTTCATTTGTGTTTATATACTCACTTTTCAGTGGACGTTTTTCTAGTTTCCTTCTCTGAGTTACTGTCTGTTTTTTTTTTTTTCCTGTATTCCCACTGCCTTTGGATTTTCTGTGTCATGGTGCTTTCTATATCAGCAGTGTAATCCTTACAAATGTTCAATGCTTCTTCAACACAGCAAATATTAATTCCCCAAACCACCATAAAATCAGTTTTTGGTTCCTTCATTTTCAGAATCCTTCCCCCTCCTGGACAGGGTCCATCATAATTCTATCTAACACTCTTCTCTTTAACTCATCCTCACACAAATTCCTTTATCTCTTGGTGCTATTCCTTCTGTTTATACTCATCACTCCCCCTCTTCTTCTATCTCTTCCCCACAGAGAAAGATAGCAATGCCAGATTCTGCCTCCGGGTCCACCATCATTGTTCTGGACCCATAACTGATCATCTCTGCCAAAATAGGTCAGATGAGAGGTCTTTCTCTGAGTGTCACACACACAAATCTTCATGACCACAAATCATTTTATAATTTGGATATGTTGAATACTCTACTCATCATCCAAAATGAATGAGGATCAAAGCTCTAACCTACCTTATACAATTCAGAATCAGTCTTACTTATGATCCTTACCTGACTTTGGGTAAGTCAATATGATCAAGTCATCTTCTTTCAATACAAACTTATTACGAACATCTTCCAGAATTTCTTTTCCAAACCCTACTGCTGGAAAAGCTATTCCTTCAAACCAAGTATAGTCTGACATCATGAATAGCTCCTTGTAGGTGCTCTTCAGCTTATAGCAAATGCTGAGAGGTAAAATTTATAGTGCAGGTAAATAAATCATTAACATTCTCTAGATAGTTATGAAACTAGCTACTGATAGGAAAAAATAAAAACAGTAACCCACAGTCAAAGGTAACTTTATTGAGCAATTTTGAACTCATACAAAGAACATTTTGCAGCATTTGTGAGCCAGAGTTCATAACCCTAAAGCAGAAACTAAGTAAGAAGCAATAGAACATAGAAATGCAGGTTAATTTCAAATGTTTTCTAATACAATTTAGCTTTTGAAGGATTTTTAAATGTGCAGAAAAATGACAGAGATCATACAGAAAATTTCCATGGCAATTCTTTTTTTAAAAACAAATAGTGATTTCTTTTGAGAACCTCATACTACACAGCTGCCCTTCTTTCCCTCAAAGAACTTCCTCTCTGTCACGTATTTATGATGTCTTTTTAAATATTTGTTGCCACTTATATATGCACACATGTATAGACAACCTACTGATTCCATTTCTTTAGTCTTTTATGTGACGTATCCTGAGGTGTCCAGTTGAGATTTAAAAATCGATGTGAGATTTCATCTCCATACACAGTTTATTCTCAATCTCTTAGATGTTATTTATATGAAGTATTTCTTCTTTTTGGGTAAAACCATATAGAATTTCCACTAGCCTCTTCTGTGTGCCTTCTAGTGCCATTATTCTGGGTTGTTTGTATACTGTTAAGATTTCATGTGTCTATTTTCTCTGTAGTGTCTAAGAGAAATAT